CGAGTTAAAATGTATTAGGACGTTGACATAAAATGAATCAGCAACTATCTACGTTCATGTTTGAGGCAAAAATGAAAGCAAATGCATTCATTGAAATTATGCTTCTAGCTTTCTTTTGTCCTACATTGTAGTAAATTGAACATCTTTTGGCTTTAGACTGTTGATTGGACAAAACAACACACATGAAGATGTTACATTGAACTTTAGGAAGTTGTGATGGGCATTTTTCCCTATTTTCTAATGTTTTATAGATCAAATGATTAATCAGTGAATTTAGAAAATAATCAGCAGCTTTATTGATACAGAAAAAGATTAGTTAGTGCCAGCCTTAGAGCAAAGCTCAGCGTCTCCAGACAATTTAATATGCACACTGACATTCTGCTAAATGTTGTGACTTCTTCAGTGTGAACACAGTACGTACTGAAGTTCAAGAGTTTGCATCCATTAACTCAGAATATAAAGTTACTAGTTGATTCCAATAGATGTCACTAGTACAGCTGCAACAGTCACACTGTGGAGAAATGCATGCAATCCAGCTGTAACAACTGAATCTGCAATGGCTCTGCTACTTGCATCAGTTTTCCGGTTGAATTTATATATGCAATAAATCTATATTTCTCTTTTTGTGTTCCTCCAGACATATACAGTCCACCTGTGTCACATTAGTACAATGGTTGTCAACAAGTTATTGACCGCTCAAACATAAAGCCTGGTGTCATAAAATCAGAGATCATACAATAAGCACAAGATCCATAATATGGAATAATAATAAAGTGTGGGATGATGTATGGAGCAATGAAGCTGCATTTGTTAATACTGTGGATTATCCAGAAGAGGACTCGATATTAACATTGCCAGCACTAAACCGGCTCTGCCAAAGATTTAAAGGCCTCAAGATGAATCAAATGTAATCCAAAACACTGAAATTGTTGGACTGAACAAAGGAGAACTCAGATTGTCTTCCAATTTATGTATCTTTCCTATTGGATATTTACACTGAGGGAATCAATTGGATAAGATCTGATTCTAGTTAGAAAAGTCTTGTTACGTTCAGTCGAAGTAAAGTGAAGTATCCTGGATGCGTGATAAAATGTATTTCCATTCAACACAGAATGGAGATCCACTGAATCACAAGACTAAACTTAAAAGATACCTCTGTAAATATATACTATATTACATTATGGTTTACCTATTTGACTTGAACTGGACTAAAGTTTTTTTTTTCCTATTGAAATAAGATACAATATAAATATACCAGAATCTATTCAGCAGTTCAAATTCTGCTGTATTCGTCTATTGGAGGAATAAAAATGGTTGTTAGCTTTATGCTGCCAATCATATGACACATCATCTTGAACTGACTATAGCTGCCTTCGACATGGGACATGGAGAGACCTCTACTACATCCCTTTGTCTTTGTTTTTCTCTTAATCTATCTCTCTTTTGCTCCGTACATACCCCGGAATCTCTCTTTCTCTTTGTCCCTTCCTCTTTTCTCTCTCCCTCTCTGGTTCATCCATTCAAGGTTATGGCCACTGGAACAGGCTCTCCAGCAGCTGGAAACTCAAGATGGTTTAATCTAAACCTCAGGAAGCAGGATGGGAACCAGATGTAGTAAAACAAAAAAAACAAAAAAGAAAACAAGCAGAGGGCACGTTTTATTCAGCTAGCATGGGGACCTTCGAAGGGCACTGTGCAAAGGGGAAGATACATTTTCAAGAGGCTGCTGGGACTTTTAGGGAGGAAATAAGTGTCTGCTTATGCCTCAAGACCAAAAGTGTTAGTACCGACCACTATCAGGCTTAAATTCAAATATTAGAGACATTGCACAAAACCCTCAATAAGTTTAAAACAGTCCCATCTTCCTTGTGAGTATTGCCCAAGCTTGAATATTTAAGAGATGTTGGCTTGTTAGAAGAAGAGGAAAACTCGGGGAAAGGACAGCTGAATGACTAACACTCTCCACTTCTTCAGGAAATACTATTGAGCTGCCCTTGGGCAAGGCAGTTAACGTTGATCCATGTTATAGCATAATTCTGTTTTACAGGGTTCAAGTGGAAGAGTGAGGCTTTTTTCCTTGTCAAAGCCTTGGCTGTTGGACAAGACAGCCTGAGGCATGAGGGGAACAAAACCCTGTAAGTTTAAATAAAGCAGCTCTTGTAAGAGGACAAGTGAGGCCTTTTCCAAACAGCGAGCTTGTGAAAAGCTGATGGCTGATGGAAAAAGTGGCTGATGGTAAAAATTAGGTAACTCCTTTTTGCCACTTAAACTTAAAATATAATATACACTGGCTTTGTTTCTACAGATTTTTCTAAGTTTTATTGCTCTGGTCTACTGGCCTTTTATACCACTTACAAGATGTTTGCAAGAATGAATATTTGTATCTGAGGTTTGGTATACACAATTAATAACAGTTATTGGTTTTTTATTGTTTGAGCTGCTTGTAACAAACTGTCAAAAAGTCTCAGCATGATGGCTTAACTACCACATTTTCATCAAACCAAGATTTCAGTTTAGATTTAGAATAAATGTCTGTATCCCAACCATTGATGTATTATCAGTAAGCCTTAATTATACAGGCAAGTTGGCTGTAAAACAACCCCTACAACAGTCTTTTACTGAAGATGTCAGTGCAGCACACTGAGATAAGAAGATGTTTTTGAGAGGAGACAGAAGCAAGCGCCTCTTACTGATTACAGGCGAATACCCAACAATAGCAGCATGCTGGTATGAGCTAAGTTTCATCCCTTGCGGCAACAGCACCAAAGGTTAAAGGAAAAGGCTGGCGTCATTCTATAAGTTTCTAACAGTCAGCAAACTCCATGACAGACCACAATCCTGTCTGTGCCACAGACAGTGCTGGTGATTTTGGTGTTTTCATTGGATTTGTTGACCAGAACAAAATCACAGAATATTGCCAACATTATGTCAGTTCCCTCTCTCTCCCCCTTTCCTGTCTATCTTCAGCTGTCACTATCCATTAAGGGCAATAAAAGCCCAAATAAAAAGGTAAGAAAAAAAGAAAATAATTCAATATAATTTAGGATAAATTCTGTAATTCTGATGTTTGCATTTTTCACAATTGATCTGTTGTGCCTGACATTTTCCATTTGATTTGTTTTAGATTATTCTTCAGTATAAATGTCTTCCCTTTTTTGCCTTGTATTAGTATATTGGGTATTGACGGTTCCATATTTCAAATTTATTTATTTACCTAGTTTTGGGTCCATTTTATAACAAGTATCTATTGACTGGAAGGTCAAGACAAGGCACTTATATGCAATGGGTAAGAGTGACAACAACGCAGATGCCTTGATTTCCTTTTGTGTGATAGTTTGATAGTTTACTTGTCAACCTGTGGGCCTCTGTTGAATTGTGTTAAGCATCCACAACCTGCTGACTGCAACTGCTACCAGTTCACTGGGTCATATAAATATAATATATATATAAAGTCATACAATAAAAAAAGCAGCTTTAATTTTTAGACCACACACTTAGATAACTTATGATGTGTAAATTCCTTGTTTTGTACGGCCTCTGAAAGCGTGTGTTTGCCTGAGGTGGGTCCAGGCTTTAACAGATGAACTGGTTGATGATGGACATGGAGGAAATGGGTGGATTTTCACACTTCCTCTTTGCATCCCGCTTGCCTCTCCCCCTGCTCTTCTCACCTTTCCTCTCACATCTCTTCTCACCTCTCTGTGGTTTCTTCCCTCCTGCCATTTTCTCTCTTCTGCTTAATATTCTGCTTTCCTCTCTCCCCAACTGGGCACAGTCCAAAAAGCCCAACAAAGGATTATTATCCACAAAAACGTGGTGGAATACAGTGGCCGCCCTAACACTAAGAAGGCGAGCTACCCTGCTGAGATGAGTTCCCCACCAAATGCAGGATTTCCATTAGCATTTGTTTCAAAGAAGGTTTCAGTATCCAGAGGGTCCACATACTGTTTCACTGGGCCCTTACACCCTGCCAAGAAAAATGTCTGGTGGTTAATAAACACCAGACACGTGCTTGTAAATGCTGGCTGCTGCCTGCAAGGTGCCAACTCTATTGGCTGTTTTGGCAGGTCACCATTACTTTGTTGGTGGAAAGCAGAAATGGTGCACTTCCAAATTGTCTGCTATATTGTCTCAATTTATCAATTTTTACAATGACAACTGGCTGCCACTGTGTCACACTTGTAGAAAATGTTTTGTGATATTACAGCCAAGCTTCATCATTAAAATGGATTGTAAAATGTCAACAACAGATGGGGGTTAGCTCGTTTTTTGAGCAGTGACTAGTTTTTGCAGCAACCGTTGCCAAAATGATGATATGGGGATACAGCAGAAAGCTCCTGCAAGAGACTGTCTATTTGCAAGAGAGATTTAAACTCTTTGACTGCAGCTGTCGGCCATAATGCCAAACATGCAGGGTTTTGTTGATTTTATGCCTCTGAATTCCTTATTCAATATTTGTGGTTTTAACAAGTCAAAAAGACTGGCTATAACTGCAGCGCCATGTCTGTTAAAGTAGATTATATTGTTATCTCTGGCCTAATGGGTTTTGTTAGACCCATACAATGCTGGAAGACACTGCGCAAT